CTCCTCCCTGCGAGTCTTATTTGCACCGGTTCACAAACCCTGTACGATCCATCCTCGGGTGGTGGCAACGCTTATCTCCCTGCCCTTTCTATTTTTTTATCCTTTTTTTTTTTTTTGCCCCCCGCTTTTTTCCGTGCCGGAGCTTTCAAGAGGCACCCGGGTCCTGCCGCTGTGAAATGGCAGGTACCTATGAAAGATAAATACCGTGCAGCGTTTTACCAACTAGGGGGTCAAATTCCAGGCGGCTTTACGGCCGCCGTTATTTTTCCGTCTCTCGGGGAAAAAAAAAAAAAAAAAAAAAAAAAACACAACCAGCGGTGGCCATTTTGCATTAGTATTTTTCAGATTTGGCTTTTTAAATATTTAGAGCGGTAGCCCAAATTGCGCTGCCTTCCAAACAAAAGAGCCTCGATGCGTATACAAGTGTATTTGTACTCGGCTTCACACTCACACTCACGTTCACACACAATATAATATGTATAGATACAACGTATATATTAGTATTTCGCTGCGCTTATTTTAATATATAGAACTCGAAGTGGAAGCATTTTATGGCAGCTATTTTTCTTTAGAGTATCTATTTATTTTTTCCAGTGCAAAGAAATGCGAATGTGAATTAAGATACCACAAAAGCGGGGAAGAAGATCCCCGAGTTAATGACAAACGCTTTTCTTTTAATAATTAAAAAAAAAAAAAAAAAAAAAAAAAAAAAAAAGAAAAGAAAAAAAAGAAAGATCGACCCAAGCCCAAGAAGCTCCAAGAAATGTAGCCCATAATTCAAAGCCTGTTCAGCGTAGAGCTGAGCTCACTGAAACCTCAGTGTAAGCTCAACGGGAACCACAGAAATTCTCCCTCTTCGAAACCTTTTCCCTCTCTTCCCCTGAAGTTTAACGCCGAGTTTTTGCTTTAATACCAGTAGTGCAGATTAGGCAGTTTAGCGGCATTTTAAAAAATCTCCCTGCAATTCATCTTCGCTTTAACTGGAAGTTTATACCCACGGTCTTACACAACGATTTTTTAAAAGGCTTTTTCTTCTTTTTGCTATTTAAATATCTTATACATGCGTAAAACTTTTTTTTCTCCCCTGCAGACCATAAGCTCCCAAACACAGCATAACGAGACGACCCGACGTAGCGGGAGTTCACAAAAACATAAACCCAAGATTTTCTAAAATCTCTCGTATTTCTACAATATGAACATTTCAAATTAAAAAAAAAAAAAAAAACAAAACACAAACAAACAAAAAAAAACCAAAAAACTAAACAAAAACAATCACTCGCTTATCTCTTCTCACACAGCCACGCCAGGGACACTCACCCATACACAGATGCTCACCTCAAAGATTCAAAAATCTGGGCCACTTCTCTAATACTTTAAGCAATGCCATCTACGTTTTGGAAAGGTGGTTATATACATACATGCCTGTAGCTTAAAAGCTAGGACTTCCTCATATATTAAAGTCACAGATGATTGCAAGTGTACATCTTTTAACCAAGCCTTTTGGGAATTAATAGACTGTGACAAACCTACAGGATTTCAGTAGCAGAAAGAACACAAGGTAAATAATAATAGCAATAGTAAGCGCTAAGGAAAGGCCTGGTAGAGTTTATTAAACGTGGTTCTACTCCCCTGACTTTTCCTCTGTTTCTTCGCTGCTGGGCTGTGTGGAATTTATGAATTTGTTTTCCTTTTTCCATTTCATTCGCCTGTTTTGAAACCATATTTTAATCTGGCGTTCAGTAAGGCAGAGAGCGTTTGCAATCTCAATACGGCGTCTTCGGGTTAAGTATCTGTTAAAATGAAATTCCTTCTCTAACTCTAGCGTTTGGTATCTGGTGTAAGTTTGCCTCCCTCGTCTCCCATGAGTTCCATATACTGTACCTGTAGAAGTAAAGACAAAACGATCGCATTGGACAGGGCCCAGTGATTTCAGACCAGAAGAGCGCAGAGAGCGTTTGCAATCTCAATACGGCGTCTTCGGGTTAAGTATCTGTTAAAATGAAATTCCTTCTCTAACTCTAGCGTTTGGTATCTGGTGTAAGTTTGCCTCCCTCGTCTCCCATGAGTTCCATATACTGTACCTGTAGAAGTAAAGACAAAACGATCGCATTGGACAGGGCCCAGTGATTTCAGACCAGAAGAGCGGACAATCACGGGGCGGGGAGGGGGTGGGGGGGCTGCTCTGGTTTCCTGAAGGCTTCTTTTTTTGTCCCTCTTTTCCTTTTCTCCTGCCTGACCAGCTGTAAATGCGGATATGCAGCGTGCTTACGGCGGTGGGGTAACTGGGATACAAAGAGGCTTTAAGGCGGACCTAGGGAAAGTGGGGTAGGTAGCACCCGTGTGAATCGCTGAGCAGCGTCTACCCTCTGCGTGTGGAGAGCCTGTGTGCACACACACACGCACATGCAGACACACACGTGTGCGATCAGGGGAGCTGCACACGTGTGTGTGTGCGTGTGCACGCATACGCGGCTGTGTTTACACAAACACACTCTATCGCCATGGCTGTGACTACAGAGGGTCTGTAATTTCGGTATAATTATAGACATCAGCTAAAGATCATAGAAGAGCCTTTGCCATTTGCTCCGGAATTTATTGCCCTCGAATGCAATGCAGCATCAGAATGGCCTTGCTAAAAGTTTAACTTTCCAAAAGGAAATGCGACCCATAGTCCAGCAAACGTAAACTCGGGAGGAGGGGAGTCATTAGCAAACACTGGAAGTAAACGTCTTAATATGGGACTATTAAAAATAAGTGCTACCCCAGTACAACCCTCCCCGCCAGCACCACTCCTGGACAGAATAGTTCAATTACGTGAAGTTCACTTGTAAGTCAGAGAAAATCCGCGATGCCATGGAAGTGCGCCCACGGCCCCAGAAACGTGCTCTCAATATCCAATACTTACAGGCTAATGAGCTGGGGGAGGGGGGCGAGGAGGAATGTGCCACAAATGCATTGGATCCTCGGTGCAGAGGGCATATTCCCTGCATCGCTCTCTGACAATGAAGAAGCAGAGCAGAGGCTTTGGGGTGGCTTTAGGAGAGTGATAAAACTGCTCTGTCCCTTTTCTCTCTCTCTCTTTTTTTTTTTTTTTTTTTTTTTTTCCCTGCTCGCTAAGGATTCCCCAGTAACTTTCACCAGTGAGCCCACAAGCTGGGCTCTCAGCCACCGTTCCCAGGGTGCCAACGTGCCAGGTCTAAAATAACCTGGGAAGGTTTCATGTTACACATTGCCCTGCAGGAATCGTGTCTCTCCAGCAGTCTGGACTTTATCTAAGAACCACCAACAACCAAAAAAAAATCTTGGGGAAAGAAACTTTTCCTTCCTCCTCCCCCCCC